TCATTATTCAAAACATAGTGTCTGAGTTTTAGTTCAAAAACTATTTATGTAGATATTTGATATTAAACTAGAACTATCACTAAATGTGATTAATACCCACACAAGTCTGCTTCGGAAATGAGGATGTTACTAGTAACAGAATACCTTGTAAAAGAATTGAAAACATAGAGTTGTGGTTGTGGGCATTAAAGACTAGAACTGCCACTATCATGGCTTGAATACCCCCGCATACCACTTTTGTAAGAATAAACAGTGGCCATTTAGAGCTCAAGGACAACCTCCCTGCAAAATCTGAGGTTATGCCAGTGCATTGCTAAAGTTATGTATTCTACATGCTTCAAATGTGAAAATGTCCAAAATCAATAAATTGCGGACAGGACATTCTTTTAGCAATTGAGAAGAAAAGCTTTTTTTTGTCAAGGACCCCTGTGACCTTGACCTTTGACCCAGTGACCTCAAAATCAATAGGGGTCACCTTATAGTCCATGATCAACATCCATTGCCAAATATGAAGACTGTGGGTCAAAGGAATCTTAAGGAGTGGACAAACTTTTTTGAAGTCAAAGTCCCTATGAACCTTGACCTTTGATCCAGTGACCTCAAAATCAAAAGGGTCATCTACTAATTCAATGATCATCATCCATGCCAAATATAAAGACTTGTGGGGTCAAAGTAATCTAAAGTTATTGGGCAGACAAACTTTTTTAAAGTCAAAGTCCCTGTGACCTTGACCTTTGACCTGGTGACCTCAAAAATCAATAGGGGTCATCTACTAATCATGGACTAAACCTCCATGCCAAAATATGAAGAACTGTGGGTGAAAGGAATCTTAAGTTATTGGGCCGACATGCTTTTTGAAGTCAAGGCCCCTGTGACCTTGACCTTTGACCTGGTGACCTCAAAGTCAATAGGGGTCATCTACTAATCATGACGTACCTCCATGCCAAATATGAAGACTGTGGGTCAAAGGAATCTTAAGTTATAAGGCGGGACAAGCTTTTTTGAAGTCAAGGCCCTGTGACCTTGACCTTTGACCTAGTGACCTCAAAAATCAATAGGGATCATTTACTAATCATGACTAACCTCCATGCCAAAATATGACGACTGTAGGTCAAAGGAATCTTAAGTTATTGGCGGACAAGCTTTTTTTAAAGTCAAGGCCCTGTGAACCTTGACCTTTGACCTGGTGACCTCAATCAATAGGGGTCATCTACTAATCATGACTAACTACCATGCCCAAATATGAAGACTGTGGGTCAAAGGAATTTTTAAGTTAAGGGCGGAAATGAAAAAAAAACCGACGGCCGGACGGACGGCCGGACGGACAGCCGGACGGACGGACAAGCTGATTCCAGTATACCCCCCTTACAACTTTGTTGTGCGGGGGTATAATAAGATGCACATAGTCTGAAAGATCTGGCTGGTGTTCTGAATAAGATGACATGATATCTCAACTGCAGGTATGTTTCTCATCAGGTACAATAAAAGAAATTTATATTGACAGGGTTCCCCCAGGAGCAATTTTAGTTTGCACCACCAGATTGGCCAATCAAAAAAGTTGAAGCCAATGGCTCCAATGTTGGAACCATTAATTCTGCAAAGGAGATATGTCTATCTTTGCTAAGATATGCTAGCAGTTTGGAGTGAAATTTTTAAAAGGATTTTTTCCTAACTGGAAAGGAGTATATGTCCTGATTAAATACAAAGCTCATATGTCTATTGATTATAGAATGTTTCAATGTTTACAGCACCTTTATATGTTAACGCAAATGGACCCTACAACCATTATGTATAAATTAATTGGCACCTTTATTGCACTTATCAATATAAGGATAAGAGCTGTGTAAAATCTTTTCAAAGATAATTATTTACATACAGAGATTATAACTAGCATATGAATTTGTTAATGTTAAAGGATTTTTCCTTACTAAAATCATTTAAATGAAAATATCTTTCCATTATTTGTATTCATTCTTAGAAGTACAGCTGGCATGGAGGGGTTTCACCAGCTCATCTTGATGTATTGTACCAAAAGATTTGCTAACACACCACCTGTTTATAGGATGCACAATCTTCTTGCAGCCATAGATTATAATATACATGCAAATAGACCATACATCACCAACAAGGGGGGTCTGTTAGGTATGCTACTTACAAAACTCCAACATGTAATGTTTCACAATTTTACAGAATGAAAGAAAAACAGTGTCCAGTTTGTGTTAATAAAAGTGAATTGTTTGGAACTATAATAATGTTCAACATAGATGTACTCTGTACTGAGTCTAATATGGATGTAGCATGTTTCTTTGTTTATTTCAATAGAAAGATTTCAGTTCTTCAAACATATAAAGAGGCAAAACCTAAATAAAATGTTGTGCTTTGTCTTCTTTGGGCATATAGATTCTCAACATTTGTTTTTTTCATTTTTGCATATGAATATAAATGCTGCATATCTTAGTATTGAATGTTCCTGCCTCTATGAATTATAAGATATTTTTATTGAAAGTGTGATCACTATGCATTTATATTGCCTATAATAATATTAATTTCAATCAAAAGAGATTTTGCAGTCTCTGAATAACCTGACTTATAAATTTTGAGGACATAATTACATGTAATGCATTTTGAGAATTGTATACACTTATGATGTTTGTTATAACAGCCTTGTTAATTTCTCATTTCAGACTTCAGCGAGTCTGGATGAATTAAAGAAGAAGAAAAAGTATCATTATACCATTTTCTCATGATGCTATAACTCTGAGAATTAGTGACATGGAGGGGATATATAAAGTAGAAAGTTAGAGGAAGATGACCCCACAGACTTTCAAAATATTTGGCCCAAGTTAGCCCGAAGCCTACCCGAGCCATTCATGAGGAACATAAATCAAGATATGATTGACTTTTTATGGAAAAGAATGATAAAATAGTGTGTTACACTGATTGCCCAACTATTCAAACATATTTAAGCTGACATTGAACACCTGGTATTCATGATAGTTTTATGAAATATCTTTTAAGATATGGCACTGTATCTACCTTGTTTCGAAAAAATTCTCTTGATTCATTTGTCATGACTCAAGGTCTGTTTTTAATATTTTGTCAGAAAAATGACTACTTTTTATACAAGTGCAAAATATTATCCAATCTATTAAACTATAAGTGCTGCTATGAGCTTTAATGTAGTAACAAAGTTAAAAGTATTTTTCAATTTTATCTTTTGATATACATGTACTATGTGTCATTCACTTTAGCTCAGCTTTTTTTTTTTTTTTTTTTTTTTTTTTTTTTTTGAAAAAAGAAATAGAGGTTGCTGCTGTTGCCTTCTGCAAACTTGAACCTTGTTCATAACTTTTAAAGTTCTTGGTGTATTGTCTAACCTTGGCCTTCATTCATAATTGACCTTGACCTTCAAGGTTAAATGTCTAAATTTTGGCTTGGCTTGTTATTTGCTATAAGTGGCTTTAACTTTATTGCCCTGTGTTAATTTTCATATTTTATTTTTGTCTTGGCCATTTCTCCTAAACTATATTGTTTAACAAGGCAACACATCCGACTCGCGGAGATCAAGTTGTTATTAGTCCATGAATTGTTTGTAGTCCAATCTAGTTTATTAGACCAATGACATAGGGGCATTTTATATAAAATCCTTGTTCAATCAAACAAGGCAAGCCTTAAAATTATCTTTGTATTTACTCCCTCATCCCATTCCAGTTTAGATAGGTTAGGTGGGCCGATAAAATATTTATTTTTGTGCCCCCACTTTAGTGGCGGGCATTTAAATTTACCCTTGTCCGTCCGTCCGTATTTCACCTAGAGTCATGAAACTTTACTGTAATGTTGATCAGCAAGTGTAGTTGTTCACCTTGGTATTTTCATCTGGATATTTTTAGTATTTTCAGAGTAACTGCCATTGAATTTTTGCAATTTTCAACTTGTGTCGCATGCTACTCAGGAAGTATTTGACCTAGAGCAATGAAACTTTACAGGAATGTTGAACATTATGTGTAGTTGTGCACCTGGGTATTTTCGTCTGGATTTAGTATTTTGAGAGCTATGGCCCTTGACATAGTAAAATTTTGCAATTTTCAACTTGTGTCGCATGTAACTCAAAAAGTATTTGACTTAGAGTCATGAAACTTTACAGGAATGTTGATCAGCATGTGTAGTTGCGCATCTGGGTATTTTCGTCTGGAATTATTTAGGATTTTTAGAGTTATTGTCCTTGACTTGGTAAAATTTTGCAGTTTTCAACTTGTGTCACATGTAACTCAACAAGAACCGGTTGAACCGGGTGATGCTCCCCGAGAAGGTTCTGGACACAGGAAAGTATAAAAAAAATGAACAAAGGGCAATAACTCCAAAATTAGACCAGGCTTTGTTTAGGTTCTTTAAGTGTTGCAGTTCTATCCAATTACATCTAGCTACCTACAAAGTTTCATGTTGATATCTCTAATAGTTTTAAAAGTAATGTCCAGGACAAAAGTCAAAAAGTAAAATAAACAAAGGGCAATTACTTCAAAATAAGGCAAGGCAGAGTAATGATTCTTAAGCACTGCACTTCCACCCAATGAGACCTATCTATCTACAAAGTTTCATGTTAATATCTCTTATAATTTTAGAGTAATGTCCCAGACAAAGTTCAAAGTGTCAAAATGAACAAAGGGCAATAACTCCAAAAGTAGGCAAGACAGTGTTACAGTTCTTGTGCACTGCAAACTTACTCAATGAGATCTATCTACCTACAAAGTTTCATGTTGATATCTCACTCTCTTATACATTAACCCTTTCCCCCATGAGCATATTGTGAAAAATGGCCATTTTCACTGAAAAGCCTCCTGTTACAAGTTCAAACTGCTATGAAACTATGAAAAATGCTTCAATACTAATCAAACTTGGCACAAATGTTGACTGGACCATTGCCTTTGTAACGACATGCTCAGTCTTAAATTTCCTGTTACCATGGCAACGAGGGAACATCTCAAAATTGCCAAAAATCACTATTTTGCCTCGATTTTTTCCATCAATATTTATTTCAAAGTGCTACAACTTCTCAAGGGATTGAGATAGAGTCAAAAGCTTTTCAGCGTTGGTTGGCACATCCCCCTTCTGGCAACCCCCTGATGTATCTTTTGGATGGGGGGCGGCGCCGAAAAAGTGCTCAATTTTTTTAGCAACATTTCTCAAACCAAAACTTATGTTAAGGGCCCAAATAGGACATTTTGTCACTATTTGAGGCCCCAAAAAAGGGGGGGGGGGGGTCGAAAGTGCGTTGTTTCACGTATATATGTGGTAAAGGGTTAAGAAATATGTCCCGGACAAATTTCAAAGTGTAAAAATAAACAAAGGGGGATAATTCAAAAATTAGGCAAGGCAGAGTTAAGGTTCTTGTTCACTGCACACCTACTCAATGAGATCTATCTACCTACAAAGTTTCATGTTGATACCTCTTATACTTTTAGAGTTATGTCCCGGACAAAGTTCAAAGTGTAAAATAAACAAAGGGGGATAATTCAAAAATTAGACAAGGAAGAGTTACGGTTCTTGTGCACTGCACACCTACTCAATGGGATCTATCTACCTACAAAGTTTCATGTTGATACCTCTTATACTTTTAGAGTTCTGTCCCTGACAAATTTCAAAGTGTAAAATAAACAAAGGGGGATAATTCAAAAATTAGACAAGGAAGAGTTACGGTTCTTGTGCACTGCACACCTACTCAATGAGATCTATCTACCTACAAAGTTTCATGTTGATACCTCTTATACTTTTAGAGTTCTGTCCCTGACAAATTTCAAAGTGTAAAATAAACAAAGGGGGATAATTCAAAAATTAGGCAAGGCAGAGTTACGGTTCTTGTGCACTGCACACCTACTCAATGAGATCTATCTACCTACAAGGTTTCATGTTGATACCTCTTATACTTTTAGAGTTATGTCCCGGACAAAGTTCAAAAAGTAAAATAAACAAAGGGGGATAATTCAAAAATAAGGTAAGGCAGAGTTAAGGTTCTTGTGCACTGCACTTCTACTCAATGAGATCTATCTACCTACAAAGTTTCATGTTAATACCTCTTATTCTTTTAGAGTTATGTCCCGGACAAATTTCAAAGTGTAAAATAAACAAAGGGGGGTAATTCAAAAATTAGGCAAGGCAGAGTTACGGTTCTTGTGCACTGCACTTCTACTCAATGGGATCTATCTACCTACAAAGTTTCATGTTGATACCTCTTATACTTTTAGAGTTATGTCCCGGACAAAGTTCAAAGTGTAAAATAAACAAAGGGGAATAATTCAAAAATTAGGCAAGGCAGAGTTACGGTTCTTGTGCACTGCACTTCTACTCAATGAGATCTATCTACCTACAAAGTTTCATGTTGATACCTCTTATACTTTTAGAGTTATGTCCAGGACAAAGTTCAAAGTGTAAAAATAAACAAAGGGGAATAATTCAAAAATTAGGCAAGGCAGAGTTACGGTTCTTGTGCACTGCACTTCTACTCAATGAGATCTATCTACCTACAAAGTTTCATGTTGATACCTCTTGTTGTTTCAAAGTTATGTCCCGGACAAGAAAAGGGGACGGACGGACGGACGGACGGACGGAAAGACGGACGGACGGATGGACGGACGGACGGACAAGGCGGCGACTATATGCTCCCCCGAAATTTTTTCGGGGAGCATAAAAAAGGATTTGACATAGAGTCATTAAACCTTAGGGGAAGGTTGCTCAGCATATTTAGTTTTGCACCTGGAGTTTGGCTTGTGGATTTATCCAGTATTTGTAGAGTTATTTCCCTTGACTTAGTAAAAAACGTTTCATTATGTTGTTATTTGTTCCTTGAGTGCTTGAGTGAGAATCAACCAACTTTACAGGAATAATGATCAACATCACTAAATTACAGGAATAATGATTTACATCACTGTGAAGCTATGAACCTGGGACTTTTATGAGGATTTTTTTTCAGTTTTGTTAGAGTTATTGCCCTTGACTTACAGTAGTATAAATTTACAATTTTTAACTTGTTCATGCATAGCTAAAAAATATTAATGTTTTCTTTTATTTCATTCAGCCAAACATAAATAATTTATCATTTAACTCCATAATTAATATCCTACAGGGATAAAATATAAATAAGAAAGACAATATAGGAGTGGCTACTACAGGTTCACTTTAATTTATCGAATAATTTACAATTTTCAACTTGTTCATGCATAGCTCAAAAAGTATATCACTTGTAGGCCTGAATGTTTAAAAGAATGTTGGTCAGCATGTGTACTTATGCACCTTGGGGTTTACTTGTGAATTTATTCAGTATTTGTAATGTTCTTGCCCTTTTCTTAGTAAAAGATTTTTAGTTTTCAAAAAAATATTTGACCTAGAGTCATAAGATTGACAGAACAGTGGCGCGTAGGGGGGGACCCGTGTCCTATGGACACATTCCTAGTTATTCAAAATGTTTGTCTTGTTTTATTTTTTATTAAAATTATATGTAGTTCAAACAAATTGTGAATGCATGAAAGCATCTGTTTTACTTGAAAATTTTAGAACCATATTTTCAGTTTCAATCAACAAATATCCAACATTTGTATATTTACAATTAAAAAAATCACGAGAGACAGTTAAAGAGATGTCATTCTCATTGACACTCTGATTTCATTTTAGTAAACAAATCCTGGGCAATGAGATATTTTAGGTAGCTGTGCTATTTGTGGGTAGGTCGCGGGAGTGGGGAACAAACAATATTTTACATTCAGGGGTAAGCCTAAGTTTTTAGGCTTGGTAGGAACATTGCCCTTCCCCAGATAATGGCACCAACTGATATTGAGGTAATTAGATTTAAAGCTAAAGATGGCATAAAGTTTAACTTCCTTTAAATATGTGTAACATTGTAAGGTATAGTTTATGTAACTCAGAAGGAAAAATTCTGATTGCCATTAGTTTTAAGATTGGTCCATTTGATTATACGTTCAAGGTCTCAGTGACATGTTAACTCATTGTCCCAAGGTTTTGAACATTTCCAGGGACATTGCTTAGATTAGTAATTAAGCATTAGTTTGGAATTAATAAGGTCTAAGGTCCCAATGGCTTAAGCATACTATCCTTCATAACCAGAAACCCATAAGGGGTTAGCTCAAGTTCATACAATTTGGTTGGAATTAAGATATCATTTATTTCCTTCTACAATATTGGCCATCTTCACACTTCCTCTTCCTGTTAAGACAGCATGGATTGAATAAAAAATAAAACTATAACTGTAAAGAAGTCACTGGTGTACAATTTTAAGAGTAAGAAAAAGAAGATATGCTGTTCATTTGAAAATATTTTATTGTTGTTTTACTGCCAATGTTCAAATACATGTTTCAATATATCAGTGTTTTTGTTATTTTAACAACATTCCAAAATGTGTCCTGAAACGTGCTAAAAGAAGTGGAGTGTAAACTAACATTGAAAGGTATTTGTAAAACATTGTTACAATCTGTGATCTTATTTTAATTTGAAAAAAGTACATTTGACATCAGAAAATAGAGAAATAAAGAATTCCTGCAGAAAGCCCAAAATGACAAAATTGAAACTGTCGCATGCTCTATTTGGTGAGCCTGTTGGAAAGTGCAAGTTACCTTCCATGCCCCACTAGCACCAGCTTTAGCAGAATTCAGCATTTGAACATAAAGTGGTGAAATTTATGGTTTTATGCCATACCGGTGTACATAATCCAGAGATTAGGATTTAATTCTTGGCAATCTTATTTTCAGTGGAATGCAACTGTTCATTGTTAACAGAATAATATTTACACAGGTTGCACTGTGTTTGTATTGGAATAAAATTTTCATTAGTACATTATTTTCCATAATGTGCACTTTTACAAAAGGCTAACATAAAATTCAGGTCTTGAGTGATCATTTTCAAAATTATAGGCATCAGAACTTTAACTTGGTCCTTTTTCCATTCTTGTTTGCTTATAAATTGAAGTATAATTATACATTATCATATATCAAACGGTTGAGTCTGTAGATGTTAAATATGTATTGGCTTTTGCATGCAGTTGACTGCTATTTAATCTGGTAACACCCTATACATGTTATTACACCAGATTGCCAAATTATATTTCTTTTCATTATAATTTCCTAACACAAGACAATTTGGTTTGGAGCTCAAAACGCCTTTAAAATCCACAAAAAAAAAACTTAATATAAGCCGTTTTGAAAAAAAATCATATTTCAACATCTATAATATAATACAGATTGAGCACCAAAGCCCAAGTGTCTGTGTTTCATAATATTTACATGACGCACACTACTGTATGCCATATTACTACGATTAAAAGCTTGGCAATAGGTACGTATTATTTCTGGTACGAACCGATCATAAAGAACGGTTAATTTACCGATTTCAAATAACCACAGCAACCGTACGACATAGACATGACAAACGCTCCATCTTCTTGTTTACTGTAGATCTAGTGAGAGTCTCAGACTTTTTTCTTTTTCCGATTGTTTCGTAACGTCTTACGAGGATATAAGCTACATTCCTTAGCTAATAAATAGCTTTTCATATCGTTTATTAATTACAAAACATAAAATAAAATTGCATCCGTCATTTATATTATATCTCCTAATATCGGGGTCGCAAGTTTGTTGACGTTTCTAATTATAGCGTTTCCGAACTTGTTTCTAATTATAGCATTTCCGAACTTTTCCGTATGCAAATGAGTTAATTCCGAATGAAACCGATCGGGCCCGAGAGCTTTTACAAATGGCGGGGATTTCAAAAACTGGCGATATTATATCCAGTTGCATCCGAGTGTTTCGGCGAAATAAGATTAAAATTGTATAGCAGTTCATCATTATTGAGGATATACTTATGATTTAGGTGATAATTTCTGAAAACTAAGTTGTAGGGTAAAATATCATCGTTGAACGGTATTATAACTTTAAGGTATAATCATCATGTTTGACTTCTAAGAACGTCATAGATAAATATTGAATAAAAAACATATTATGAGAATAAAAACTATGTTTGCTACAACATGGAAAGTTAAAGTGTTAAAGAAGATTCTGTTGTGTCAATAAAAAGCTGTCCTGCTTATTTTGTATAATGAACTTGCCCTGCTTTAAATTCAGAACTGTTTATTGTTATTAAGAGGGGTGCCATTATAAAGTTCAGCAGTAAACAGAGTAAAGTCCTGTATGACAGAATAGACGGGGACTCGGTCTTGATTCAGTGCTGGTGGTATTTTCAATCCTGGCATTCAATTATAGTGTAAATGAAAATTGCAACTCAAAACTTGCCAAAACAAACATGAAATAAATTTTGTAATAAGGTCAAAAAATTACAAGATATATGAAAACAACAGCTTACCATCAGAATCTGATTCACTCGCACTGTCATCTGATGACTCTTTCAAATCAGACATTTTGTCGTCACTGACCTTACTTCCATCCTCATCCTTAGGTCTTACACCATCATTGGTCCAGACAGGTTTTACACTAACATTCTGATGGACCTCCAGAAATTCATTAAACTTAGGATCATCCTTAACCTGAATTTAAGACAATAAAACTTATTAGCAAACATTGAGTTTTATTTGGTTATTTCAATGAATAATTAAACAAAAAGATAACAAAAGTAAAATTGTAATAAGGGCCAAAATAACAAATGGTTCTGATGCAGCTAAATTTCAGAGAGATGGACCACGGCCAGAATTTATGTACTGTGTGATTATAAGTGGCAGGAAATATATCAGTTGGTAGTCAGTTGATACAACAATTTTGATCATTTTTCATTTCTTTTTGTCCAAAATAATTGATGAAAATTCGATGTCTTGGAGGTAGGCTTTGATTCATGATCAGGGACAACTGTCTCTCTTAATCCCTTTGAGCCCCTTTGCTTGGACTTTTGAAAACCTAAATTACATTCAATTCTTTGAATGATAAGCAGATGCTATAAATCAACTATTGGAACAATTTAAAACACAGGTTTCCCATATCTCAGAGGTATCATTTTCATGACCAATACATAATGTGTTATAAGACAGACCAGACCTGATGTCTACATATATTTGATGTATCATTCATGATATTATATAATTAATTGAGCCGTGCCATGACAAAACCAACATAATGGGTTTGCGACCAGCATGGATCCAGACCAGCCTGCGCATCCGCAAAGTCTGATCAGGATCCATGCTGTTCGCTATCAGTTTCTCTACTTGTTATAGGGATTGTAAGTGAACAGCATGGATCCTGATCAGACTGCACGAATGCGCAGGCTGGTCTGGATCCATGCTGGTCGCAAATCCATTATGTTGGTTTTGTCCTGACGCGGCTCATATTAATATAACAAGTATCTCTGTAATAATTTATACACAATTTACATGTATACTTCTACTAGGGGGACTATACACACTTAAAGTTCATTACTTACATCATCTAATAACTCATCAACAATCTTATGGTCTGCTTTCTTATTTTTCTTCTTCTTTTCATCCTGCAATAAATCAAACAGTTAAGCTACATTATTTGTATATATATTTCTTGTATCTTTATTAACTGCAGCACATTACGTTGTACAAAATTAAAGTAACCCCCGTAGCAAAACAAAAATTGAAATTTGTTAAAAACAGTAATAAATATGCAGTGCAAGACAAGTTTGGACATGGCAGACAAGTTAATACAATTCATTAAATAAATACAAAATTCATTTTTATACAATTTATTTTATATTCTTTATTTTCACTATGTCAAGATAGCGTTTAATCATTAAGAATACATGTGTATGTAACAGCTGTATATGAACAGTCTGTTCTGTGTAAAATGCTTTGTTTGCTTGGTTTTAAGGCCGATTTTAACAGATTTTTGGTCATATCTCATCAGTCAGTCCTTGCGAGTGTTTTTCCCTGATAACAAACCATTAATTACCAATTTATCTGCAATTGACGTACTGCTAATCTCACATGACTTTTAAATCAGCAGTCAGAGACAAATTACTATTAGGCACAATGTCTAAGATCAACTGTAACATAGAAATTCAGCATTGCCCTAGGATCAAAGCAGTGAGCCCTGGCTGGACAATGTAAGTGTAAGATGCATTGCATAATTTAAGAATTATTGATTAATGATTTCCAAAATTCAGTAATTAATTACCTTTTTAGGTACATCTTCTTTGGAAGTTTTCAAGTTGGCTTGGCCAGCCGAACTATCTTTTGCATACTTGCTCCATGCCCTTGGTTTGTTTATGTCCCCAAAATCTTTAGCAATTTCAATCTGAAACAGATAATCTTAAAAAAATAGACATACATGTTCTTACAAAATAAATAATTTTTTTATTTAGTATGTTTCCTTTGTATTCAATAGCAGTTCCTTTTGTCTTTGAAGTCACATGTATTTACTTGAGCAAAAAAATTTAAACGGAGGGCCAAAACAGTGAAGTTTGTGTTGTAATAGTTTTCTAAATTGGTCACTAGTGAATACCAGTGGGACCTTGCTGGATGCAACAGATTCTACCAGTGAGACCTGCACAGACAGCTCAGCAAGCATATCTCTGTTCACTATTCATCAAGTTATGCAAATTTCCCTAATAATGGTTAAAATATTAAGTATGGTAAAGGTTTAGAAATTTTAACTCAAACAAAAACCTCCTGATAGAATTCTGGAAACAAAGTGATCCCTTGGAAGCATTAATCACAGCAAAATCACAAGAGAATTGCAGTCTCGGTTTGATTGAGTCTGTACATAAGGGGTAACAAATACGTGCAACATCCCTCATGCCCCCTAGCACTGGCTTAAGCGGTACTCAATTCTCAACACTTCATAGTGCTTCTAATAGAAACATAGAAACCAGAAAAAGAGGCTCAAAAACATTTAATCCCAAGGATCTCTGCTTTTCCAGATTTTTTTAAACCATTATACTTTTTAATTGAGATTTTTCCTTCTTTACAAAGAAGGTTTTATCCTTATTAAGGTCATTGTTACACAAAGACCAGTCAATACATAAGGCCATTATTTTTTGATATTTCGGTTTACTGACCCGCCGACTCCGTATTTTGGGAAAATGAAAAAAAAAAAAAAAAAATCTGCCCCAAAAAAATTTTGTGTTGTCTTGAAATACGCCGCTAATAAAGTTAAGATGTTAGTTAATATTCTATCGGGATATATATATCTCATCTTACGACTTTTCAAACAAACGTCAAGAAAATTTTTCACGGTAATAATTATGAAAGAATGTCTGTTAAATGGGGCAAGCCATTCTCACAGAATTATAATGAGGCTTTGATCATATTTCATCAATACAATTAAGGTGTCCAAATGCGTAAAAATGTCAAAGTAAACAACTTAAAAAAAAAACAAAAAAAAAACAAAAAGCCAAAATTACGTAAGCAGCAGAGCGAGTGAAATCTGATGCAATTGACAAGATCAGTATTTTCAGATTTACCACAAAAAAATAGTCTTTAAACGCAGATTGAATACAGGTTTTCAAACAAACAAAATTTAAAAATGCACTTACTATTAATAGATTTTTATGTCAATAATTGACCAGCTAATTATCCGATAAAAAATATTTTCACATCGGGCAATATTAAAATTGAACATGTGTAATCTTTTCTTGACAGTTTTTTTTTTAACTGAGTGCAAGTCAGCTGAGTTTCGGCACCTTTGATGATTCAGATTACACAGCAGTGTGTAAACATCAAAGAATGACAGATTCTTTTGAAGGGCTGGCTTGCCACTTGTCATTAGTCATCGTGTGTAGATTTCATGTGTGTTTTTTAAACAATGGCAATGTAAGCAAAGTTTTTTTTTTGTGTATTTAGACAATCTTTGGAATAGACAATCGGCGATCGATGTATTTAATTTCATTGCTCTGGTAAGTACTATGTATATGTATGCACCACATTTAAAGTTATGAAAACCTTTTTTTTTTTTTATTTTCCCGCCGCTGACCCTACCTTTTTTTGGAAAAAATCAGTAAACCAAAATATAAAAAAAAAAATGGCCTAACTTGAGAAGTTATATTATCTTTATTCTGATATTCTTGAAGTGTTGCTGTACATCCCTTCCTTGTTTACACTTTTTAAAAGGAAAAGTGAGTATACATGTATGATATAACATACCACAATTTTAGAAGCATCAATAAAGGTCTTGTTAAATTGTTTTAAGGCTGATTGAGCTTCTTGTTCTGTTTTGTAGCCAATGAAAGCAAACTTTCTAAACACTCCATTCTTAGTATACTTCAAACTACAGTCTGTAACTGAGCCAACTTTGCCAAAATGATTCCTTAACTTCTCTTCCTTTATCTGAAATATTGAACAACATTTTATATAAGTTCTGTAATTGACATCATGCCATCTATGGGTATAGAATAGATGGATACCAAAAATAAGCTATTTTCACGAAAATTAGATCGCAGCTATGAAAATAAGATTTATTTTTGAAATAGTGCATTTATCTGTTTAAATAATTATGTTAATTATATATATATATATATGCATTCTTCCATTTGAGCTATTTGCGTATGATGGTATTTCCGGCTCAAACTTCACTTTAAAAAAAAATATTTTTTTGTTCTGAAATTTTAATTTGCTGTAGAATCATTCAAAGAATGCATATATATATATAATATAATTAACATAATTATTGAAACAGATAAATGCACAATTTCAAAAATAAATCTTATTTTCGTAGCAATCTTATTTTCGGTATCCAATCTATACCGAATATCTAGTATTAAAATGACCAGGGTTCTCACTAGGATTTTCAAAATATGGCAACAGAAATTGTGTACAGTACTACTGTTAAAATATCTGCCTAATTACCATGGGGTATAACGTATATTTATATTGCTTATTAAAATAACATGTGATGTTTTTTAAGTATACATATATCACTGGCCATATGCAACCTGTAGTTGTACACAATAGACGCTCAGCTTTGTTTGTGAAAATTCTGATGATTCGAAAAAGGGCAATGTTGATAGTTTACTGTCATAACTTCATTTACATGATTTCTATTCAAAATGTCTTTCCAATCAATAGGATTAGAGCATTAAAATGACAGTCCAAATCAAGTTGTCTTGTTGTTGTTGAAATTTTGTCAACAAAATGAAAAACAAAGGTAAATAACCATAAGTGAAATTAGATCTTTATAAAAGTATGATTAACTAAAAAAATAATGTATGTCATTGGACAACATACCCCACTCGGCAGATTCTTTACAATTAAACGAGACATTTTCAAGACAGAAATATCCGTTTTCACTTTATCCAAGAAACATGGTTCCGGTCATGACTAAACTGAAATAAATTTCGCAATATTATTGTTGTCGTCTCGAATCTCAAAGTTATAAAATTTTAAACAAGGAAATATTTGTTGATTTGTAAAAAAATATATTCTATGCCAATTTCAGTCTGTGATGGCTTTTAGTTTCGGTGAAATAAAGATTTACAATGGCAAGTTTAAAACAATTTAAAGACTCCGTTGTTTAGAATACGAGTTACCTCCCATTATTTTCTCAACGATTTCGAGACGTTTCGGCCCCAAGACGTATCGGCCCCAAACTACCCAAGACGTTTCGGCCCTTTACCAAATCGGCCCCAGAATAACTACTGTATTTTAAACCGATATATTAATAGCATTTCAATAAAAAAATTAATCAATTAATATATATATATATAATCATTTTGTATAGAAACTAGATTATTATAGTAGTAGGGGGAAAGTAATCAATACAAACAGAACAGAACATAAACTTTATTTGAAAAAATATAAAACACAAACAAACAATTATCAACCATATATAGATAATATTTTATTTGAATGATTAAGAAGCAAGACACAAAACAATACCGCCAATTAGCATAAAGTATAAACAGTTAATTAGTTACACTTTGAAAAAATTACGTATAGTTTAATTTAGATCAAAAGATAATGTTTTCTAAGGAAAAATTGTAAGTAACTTTCTTAATCCAGAAGTTTTAGTGGTTTGTTTTGTAAGTAAGTAACCGGCCTTTATTGTTTGTTACACCTTTAAAAACATCAACGTAAATCTAAATGGTTCAAGAGATCAAAAGATAATAAATAATTATTCAAAGAATTTCCCTCGATTCAGTATAAAATGTTTGAATTTCTTTGACTAAAGTAATTCTTTATGTCATAATTATGATACACAATATGTGAAAAATGGTTAACTTGCCATACATACCACTGTCAGTGACGGAATATAACCAAACAGGAAGAAATGTATACACAATGTCACATTCATAGATGCATGTCTTCAATGTAGAGATGGTTAATTGTACCACGGCACACCCCCTCCCCTCCAAAACATTTTCACCATTGGCTGGTATAATAGCCTTTCAGAAGAAAGAATCCAAATAGCAACCAAATAAAAACAAAAAAAATGTCTCAACACCTTAGAAAAATTGAACTGTTTTCACTTGTTTCTTAAAAGAAGTGACAGATTATGATCAAACACATGTTTAAAATCTGAAAAGGCATGAAAAGTAAAAAAAAACAACAAAAACAAATAAGTTGTTTAAAAATCATTTAGATGTAAGAAAAGCACAGGTCAACTTGTAAAATTTCAATGGCAAGGAAACCATGAAAAAAGTTTGGAATTATGAAAAAAAGCTTTATTTCTTTGAAAGCTTGATTTGACTTACCCGGTATTTAATATGAAATTAGGCAAAGCCTATGGACGGGAAGTCGGTTAAAAAATTGTTCATTTTCCCATTTGGTATTTCATGTACCACTTCTGTTTTCACTCGGGACACTATGTTATTATTGATCCAAAAAGTTGTGATTGTTCCATTATCGGATAACCCAGCCTATTATCATTGAGTTACATTTAATATAGTGGCACCCTATTAAAACTGAGACTGAAAATTATATTGATAGTAAGAGAATTCTAATTATTTTTTAATTGTTTTTTATTTGATTTCCTTTTAAATATACATCATGTCATGTGTAGTCTATAGCTGGACAAGCCAAAGCCCAAAGGCCCTTCACTTCCCTGTATAAATTAAATTCTGTAGACCATCAATTCCCTCTTACTTACTCCCCATTCTTAATCTATATTTCAAGCTTTTAACACTATGAACATGTACAAAGATAAATAAATAAATATTCCAAATATGGTAGTTCACATAGCCATTCTATCAAAATTTTACTAGCAATTATATCTGAAGTTCATTAAAAACATTGGTCTAAAGGTAAATTGAAAATTTTACATTTATAATTCTATGTTTATCCTTTTACAGATTTGATTTTATAGCAATATCCTTGCTCCTACTGAGATTTTGAACTCAGAACTCCTCTTAGTTTGCATGAGTTATCAATAAACCAGAGGTGTTTTACCAATTGAACTATAGGAGACATAGGATCTGACAGCCACAGTGTTTATAGAAAACTATTCATCTTTCTACAAATTTAAAGAACAATATTAACATGATAAAATAAATATAATTACAGTATTTTGGCTGGTATTTGTTACTACCTTACTTTTAAGCAGTGATTATTTTCCTATATTTTACAGCCAAAAAAAGACTTTTTCCTCAAAATGCTATTTTTCAACTGAAATGCCCTATGCACATTATTCACCAGAACCATGGCTTAACAGCAGCTGACTTATATGATTATCAGCTTGTTGATAAAATTCATTGACAGAAAGTTGTTATAGATAGCCTATGCCATGTATATTAAATGGAATTGATAATTTAATCAAATGTGTAGGTGAATTCCATTCATAGTTGTTGGAATTTTATTTATTATTTTTTCACTTTTTCTGATTTATCTTGCTATAAAATATATTTTTCCCTTCAGAAAGCCAAAGATTGTTTTGAAAATTGACAAAAACAAAAACTGTGATGTGGTATCAACAAATTGACATTGACATTCATAATCATTAAATGAGTATTAAACTGTTGGAAAAAATAGTGAAAGATTATGATAACAGTCTATAGACTATATGACCATTTTTTTGTTGCTTTTCATTATCCTAACATGATAAAATAAATACTGCCTTTCTATACATCTGAAGAATTGTAAGAAATGTTTACATCAAGTTCACAATAAATTTAAAGTAAATTTCAACAATATGTTTCATGTGCACATAAATTATCCTAAACCATTATTGATGATAGCATGGAATTATATTATCAGTCACACTAGTTGCTCACAAGGCTTCAAGCAAGCTGGTGGATTCAGGAAAAAAAAAATGAAGTTGGCAAAATCTGTTTAAATACATGCAATTTAGTCTGTAGGTCAATCTTCCACTTGACACTTTTACATTTCGCAACAATAAAAATTCATCACATAACAAATCGCCATGTGTTTAAATACCTTTTTCTCACATCCATAATAGGGCATTTTCAAACTGTTGCTGAAATCCCTATTAATTATTTTCCATTTTAAATTTCATTCCTTTAGTTAATTTAACTCAATTTTTGCTTTAATCATACAATAGCAGTGTAAGAAAATTAGGATTTGAATCGACTAGGCTGGTCGGACTACCAGATTGGAATATTCACTAGCCCCCAAAGGCATTTCACTAGCACCATTCATTTGTTTCAAAACAGTTGTTTATATTGCCTCTGAAAATACAGTAGCCTGGGTTGGGCTTGTTACTGTGAGAAGTTGGTAGCCCGAGGAGAAATTTAGTAGTCAGGGGCTATCAGACTTACTGCTAATTTGGAACACTGCAATAGTGAATTATTATTTAACTCTGGCCAAATTGTTATCGTGGCATACTGTTAATAATTTCTTGTGGGAAAGTACCCTTATCACCAGTGATTCAATAATAAATAAATTTTTAATGTCATATAAACAAAATTCAAAAACTTGTTCCTCCTTTTCTCTCTATTTTGGCTGAAGCTTGAATCATTTATTTCATTTTGAAAGGTCAGTGAGAAATAATAAAAATAAGGGGAGCCAGTGGGCCTGGTGTTAAGGTGTCTATGTTTCAACCTATGGATCATGGATTTGAGCACTAATCTGGTCAGAACCATGTTTCTTCACATGACACAAGTACTGGTTGGTTAAAGGAAGTAGACTCTTCTTGCCTATAAGAAATGTATATCATTTTCATGATGGACTGGACAACCATAGGAAATAACATTTTAAATTTTGAAAAAGGGGAAGAAAAAAAAATGTAAAAATAAAATTTCCCTGCAGGAAACTGTCCTGGAGTTTTGTGCTATATAAGGGTGTAACACAGGAACTTGAAATTCTATCAAATAACCAAATATTAATGATAATATCCAAATATACCCCCTATATACTATAAATAAATTTATTTATACTGTATAGGGGTTTTTTTGGATATTATCATTAATAATTGATAGAATTTCAAGTTCCTGTGGGTGTAAAAAGGGAGAAAACACTGTTTTTCTTGATGTTTTATAAATTTAAACCATTTTGAAAATAAGCCACAACCATTTTGAAATAAAATCTTATTTCATATAAATCTTTGAATTATATGGGTCGAATCGGTAATGGGACGGATCCTGAATCAATGGCTTTGATTACATTGAATTATTCCCAACAGGGGCTAAAATAAACGGGTCCTTACTAAACACTGCTAAGGACTGCTAAGGACCGCTAAGGGACTGCTAAGGAGCCACAAAGGACTACTAAAGAGGCACAAAGGACCATTCAAATACCTCCTAGGCCATTTCTTATAATTACATGGTATTTATTTTTAGTGGAAAAAAAAATTATAACTTTAAGAAAAAATTTTAAAAATATGATTTTTGGTGAAAAATTTTATGAGTTGTCGGACCGCTAAGGACTGCTCAGATACATAAAAGACTGCTAGGGAGGCACAAAGGACCTTAAAAATACCTCCTAGGGGCATTCTTATAATACAGGTAGTATGTTTAGTGACAAAAAATGTATTATTTTAAGAAAAAATTCATTTTAGTGATAAAATTTATGTTTTTGAAGAGTTGTCGGACCGCTAAGGACTGCTCAGGTGCACTAACAACTGCTAGGGAGGCACAAAGGACCTTCAAATCCCTCCTAGAACATTCTTATAATATAATGGTAGTAAGTTAATAGACAAAAATGTATTATTGTAAGAAAAAAATATAATTTTGGTGATAGAAATTTATGCGTTTTCGATGAGTTGCAGGACCGCTAAGGACTGCTCAGGGTTTGCGAAAAGGACTACTAGGCAGGCACAAAGACCTATAAAATATTTCCTAGGGAGGTACAAAGACGCTTAAAATAACTGTGGGGGGCATTCTTATAATTCATGGGTAGTATGTTTAGTGACAAAAAATGTATGATTTTAAGGAAAAA